ACAGTTTTTCACCATACGGACCTCCCAGCCGGCAAATAACATATATTTATCTGCACTAAATTCGCGTACGATACATTAATTCCAATCCACTACTTACAATACATTACCTATCAAAAGAATCGCCGAGATCAATTTTCAGTAAACTCCTCTCCCTATCATAAAAAAAAATTTACAGTTAGTTCCCAAAATCATAGCTATAAACCCCGCAGGCGGAATCCGTAACTTACAGATTTCCAAGCCAGAATTCCATCACAATCTAGTTACAATCAGCCGCGAAATCAAATAACAATCTCTCAATTAAGAAAACCTAGAATTTTGCCAGGAATATTGGCGTGTATTTTTTAGTACTTTACATGCAGAACGATTACTCATTTTTCAATCCACTTCTTCTGTGATTAAATCAGAACGTTTTGACATATTGTGAATATTTCACTTGCTTTACTTGACTTAATATCGCACGACATTTGCACAGCTTTCATCGATGCGAATCAGTGGTTAATTGTGTAAAATTATTATTCAAAATTTATAGTTAATAACTCTTTCGTTCGTCCATTCGTTTATTCAAAATGTAGGCTCACATTTGCCACACTTTGCGTCATTGATTAAGCAAAATAAAACATTATTACCCTGCCAAAGTTTTTCACCTCGCTTTTATAAGAAGTTTACATTTTCTTTGAAATTAGAAACAAAAAAGGTAGAATGTGTAGGTTCACATTTGTCACACTTTGCGTCATTGATTAAGCAAAATAAAAGACAATTACCCTGCCTAAGTTTTTTCACCTCGCTTTTATAAGAGGTTTACATTTTCTTTGAAATTAGAAAAAGAAAAGGGCACAATGTGTCACTTGCTTACTAAATCATGACTACCTTAAGCTCTGGCGAGCTTTCATGCCAAATTATTTAAAACTATATGAATGAGCTATTAAATCAGTTGATCGATCAAATCAGTTACGTTTGTTATGTATGACAGAGTGGTTTAAGGAAAGCTAGCATTAAGATTGGCAGAACAGCTTGTTCGTGTTACCTTTCAAAGTCATTGGATTCCATAACACTTAAACTTCCTTAGAGCATAGTAGCACTGCTCCATGTTTGCTCCTGTATCACCAAACCTCAGCTGTTTAACTAGTAGATGTGTCTTTTCAGTGAGGAGACCACTGTCCTCCTGCCAGTTTGTCATACGTATTACAGTTATAAACTTCGTCTTTACTTGCGCAGGTGTTGTTCATTCCGCATGCGCACTTACTACTATCAGGAGCTGCTCTACCCCAGTAAGTCCTTTCCACTGAATCACGTGACACCCAGAAGGCAAATTCCATATTGGAACTGAAGCACTCGTACTTGATGAGCTGCTCACAGAATAGGGAAACGTTGATAAGACTCACCAGTTGAGGCATGTTCGCTCCGTTGTAATGTATGTCACGAGAGTAAGATCCCCCTACTTCATATCCATCCACCAATGTCTTGTCTTCGCTACCGTGACTTATGACAGTCACGCCAATTTCGTTTTTATCACTCATGTCACAGGTGACGTTAAATGGCTGAAGTCCTCCGTCAGTATCAATAATATATGGTCCACTTTTTGCATTAGGATCGAACTTCTTCAAGTCGCTGCAGGATTTAGGTAGCGCTGAAAAATCCTTAAATGTAAAGTTTGAGTGAAAACTCTAGTAACATTGTATTTTTCGTCATTGTCATATCAGCCAATAGAGTTGCATTTGGGTGATTCAAAATAATTAAGAGCATTGTCTTTTTGATCTCAATACGAAGGTCAAAAGAGATCCAAATACTTCCAGTATAACGGATCGATTTACGAGCAAAAAGACGGAGCCGCCATGGGGAGTCCGGTTTCCGCTGTTATTGCTAACCTCTACATGGAGAGTTTCGAAGAACAGGCGATAACTACATCATCCTACGAGCCTAGGATCTGGAAACGCTACGTGGACGATACCTTTACCATCCTGGATCGCGAAAACGTGGATGACTTCTTACAGTATCTAAACAACCAGCAGCCTTCCATCCGCTTCACCATGGAGACAGAGAAAGACAACAAACTCACCGCAGTTTTAAGAGAACCTGACGGCCGCCTCACCACTAGCGTATACAGGAAGCCCACGC